CACCACCACACCCAGCTAATTTTCTTTTTTTTTTTTTTTTTCATAGGGAAGTTCTTATTGGCTTATCCACATCTCCACGGATGAGTATGTGAGAGCACCCAATCTTGACTGGTCTCATGCTCTAAGACTATAGCTGTCAGACAGCTATGTTAATGGAGTCATCACATTTTAGACTTCTAAGGGGCCTTTAAAAGCTCATCCCATCTTATTTTATACACGAGGAAGCAAGTTTTAAGAGATTAAGACCGGGGGCTGTGGCTGACGCCTATAATCCTAGGACTTTGGGAGGCTGAGGTGGGTGGATCACCTGAGGTCAGGAGTTTGAGATCAGCCTGGCCAACACATAGTGAAACCCCATCTCTACTAAAAAATACACATACACAAATTATCTGGGCATGATGGTAGATGCTTGTAGTCCCAGCTACTTGGGAAGCTGAGGCAGGAGAATTGCTTGAAACTGGCAGGCAGAGGTTGAGTGAGTCGAGATCGCACCACTGCACTCCAGCCTGGACGACAGAGCAAAACACCATCTCCCAAAAAAAAAAAAAAAAGAAACAAATTAAGCGAACTTTCAAGTTCGCATAACTGGTTGGGCAGAGATAGAGGTTTGGACTAGAACCCTGATGAGATAAATGCATGAAGGACAGGTAGCATAGTGCCAGGCGTGTGCTAATGCGCAGTAAATCTTTGCTATTATTATTCCACTAGACTTGTAAACTCAAAGAAAGCAGGAACCCTGTCTGTCACTTCTATTGCTCAATAGGAATTTGCTAAAAAAGTAAGCAAATAAGTGTGTTTTTTTCCCCCATTAATCCAGGTAATGGGGAGGAGGAAACCAATTTTTTCCAAGTCTGTAGCGGTATTGCATTTAAGAAGGCCACAATGTTTCATTACATTATTATTTTCACTTGTTGTTTTGTTTTGAGTCTTGCTCTGTCACCCAGGCTACAGTGCAGTGGCATGATCTCAGCTTACTGCAACCTCTGCCTCCTGGGTTCAAACGATTCTCCTGCCTCAGCCTCCTGAGTAGCTGGGATTACAGGCACCCGCCACCGTGCCCGACTGATTTTTGTATTTATAGTAGAGATGAGGTTTCACCATCCTGGCCAGGCTGGTCTTGAACTCCTGAGCTCGTGATCCACCTGCCTTGGCCTCCCAAAGTGCTAAGATTACAGGTGTGAGTTACTGCGCCTGGCCTCATTACATTATTAAGAACGTTCAAATTCTTCTTAAGCAGAAAATTAATGCAGTTGTATGAAAGATTGGTTATTTGTAAATTCAGAGAGCTACCAAGTTGATGTGATAAGGAGAACTAGTTGATATTTTCACTGAACAAACTGACTTTGAACTAAATTATCACGTTCTTTGCTCTCGATAGTCAATGCCATTTTCTCTAAACTGCCTTTCCTTTATAGAGTGCTATACATTTCAAAAGTTTTCTTCTATTATTTAGTCAAGTTGGAAGGTAAAGAGAGGAAAGTCTGCATGTAATTTTAGATAAGATTTGTGAGGCTTTTACCACTTATTTAAAAAAAATCTTTTATGAGATTAAAGACAATGGTATCAAGAACCTAAATTCTTGGTTTCATACATAAATCATGACTTAAAATTTTCTCCTCATTGTAGTGTATATTTCAGGCCGTATGTATTATGGACCAATAAAAAGTCTCGGGCTGGGTGTGGTGGCTCACACCTGTCATCCCAGCACTTTTGGAGATTGACGCAGGCAGATCATTTGAGGTCAGGAGTGTGTTGGCAAGATAATGATATCTATCTATCTATTTATCTATCTATATACAGGTACTTTTTTTTTAGATGGAGTTTCAATCTTGTTACCCAAGCTGGAGTGCAATGGCGCAATCTTGGCTCACTGCAACCTTCGCCTCCCAGTTTCAAGTAACTCTCCTGCCTCAGCCTCCCAAGTAGCTGGGATTACAGGTGTGCACCACCACACCCGGCTAACTTTTTGTATTTTTAGTGGAAATGGGGTTTCACCATGTTAGCCAGGCTGGTCTCAAACTTCTGACCTCAGGTGATCTACCTGCCTTGGCCTCCCCATGTGCTGGGATTACAGGCATGAACCACCACACCTGGCCATCTTAATATATTTAATAGTAAATATAAAGCCATTTGAAGACAGGAAGAGCTTTTACTTAGGCAGTGCAATTTCCCTTTTTCTACAGGATGTATTTTCCTGGTATTTGAAAAATACGGGTATCTAGAGTATACAGAGAGGGTGGGGAAGAGCCCCAGGTGGACAGCTAGTCTTAGTGCCTCACAAATAGGCATCCTCTCTTTCCCCACTACCATTTACTAAGCATCGAATATGTGCTAATGTGCTGCATGCTTTTCAAACATCTTATTTCATGAAGAAGATGGCATGATCCCTACTTTACAGATGAGGAAACAAGTTTGGAGAGGTTAAGTCTCTTACCCAATAAGCCAGAAATCAAACTCACATAGGTCTGAGTCCAAAGCCTATGCTCTCAAGCATAGTGAAATGCTGCCTTAAACTGATTTCCACTCAGTATTACTGCATGACAAACCAACACATGAGTCATCTAAGTGGCTAGGGATGTCCCTTTTAGATGAATAAGGCAGGAAGTATCCACAAGAAAGGATTTCATATCATGACTTCTTCTTTCTGCTCTCTGCCTATCTCTACATTTGCTCTACAAGCATCCTGTCCTCCCCGGGACATCCACCATCATCTACATCAGGAAAATCTAGCTCAAGTCCAGAACACTGTGTTTAGTGTTATTATGTAAGACTAATGCTTTGTGCTCTGATTTCTACACAATGTCATCATTCAGGCCTCCCATTTTCTTAAAAATTGAACTTAGTGTGAATAGGTTCTCAGAAGCATTCAAGGATTTCAGACTCACCATATGAATATTTCATTCCACAAAATGCCTTGGCATTTCTTAATATCTGTTCCTTACATTCACATTTACCTACAGAAAGTAAACAAAAAACGATGTTAGTTATTAGAAAAGAAAAAAAAATAAGAGATCAGCCAGTGCATCCAGATAACACATTCCTTAAGCCTTGACTGATGCCTACAACATAATCTGTAAGTACCAAGGAACCAGGAAAGTCATTCGAAAGAAGTAGAGTCTCTTTCTTAATTAGTTATCTTTCAATAAAGTATTTATCCAAGAGAAATACAGAAGGTAGAAACAGTGATACATTTCAATGCTTGTAATTGATGTTACGATAAATACAGTCCAGTGTTATTATTCCATGCTAATGGAAAGTAATAATTAAATGGAAAACCTGCAGAAAAGACAGTTGTCTTTCTGCAGTTAATGTATACAACAAAAGTCAAATTAAACAAACTGAGTAGACAGTCCCTTGAAGGTAATGTCATCCAATTTTTTTGGTTATCCATTTTAAAGGTATTTATTGAGCACCTTTGGTATGCAAGGCATAGTGCTTTATACTTCAGCACCACAAAGATAAGCAAGATACGATTCTTGCCTTAAGGTTTGCAATTCAGTAAGATGAAGAAACTTCAAGTGTATAAAAAGTGATAAAACAGTAAATGGTCTGGGAGAGGTACAACATACTTGGGTGGAAGAGTCACATATGTCTGGGAAGATGGGAAAAAGCTTATTGACTCAAGAAGGATTTGAAAGGGACTTTGAAGAATAAGTAGAATATTTACTCCCAATAGTTTAAATTACATATTGCCACTATTATGTGTGAGAGATTTGCCAGGCCCTGTGGAAGACTTTCAAAGTGCCTTTATGCACAGTTTATTTTATGTATATATGTATGTATTTATCTGTCTTTTGAGGTGCAGTGGCGTGATCTTAGCTCATTGCAACCTTCGTCTCCTGGGTTCAAGCAATTGTCCTGTCTCAGCCTCCTGAGTACCTGGGACTACAGGCACACACCACCACACCTGGCTAATTTTTATATTTTTAGTAGGGACCATATTGGTCAGGCTGGTCTTGAACTCCTGACCTCAGGTGATCCACCTGCCTCTTGGCCTCCCAAAGTGCTGGGATCATAGGTGTGAGACACCGCGCCCAGCCTGTACATTAGTTTATTTATAGCAGGGGACCCCAGCCTCTTGGCCGTGGACTGGTACTGGTCTGTGGCCTGTTAGAAACCAGGTCGTATAGCAGGAGATGAGCAGCCAGAGAGTGAGCCAAGTTTCATCTGTATTTACAGCCACTCTCCATCACTACATTAACGCCTGAGCTCCACCTCCTGTTAGAGCAGCAGCAGCATTAGATTCTCATAAAAGCGCCCACCCTACTGGGAGCTGTGCATGTGAGGGATCTATGTTGTGCGCTCCTTACGAGAATCTAATGCCTGCAGGTCTGAGGTGGAACAGCTTCATCCTGAAATCATCCCCTGCCCCTGCCATCCATGGAAAAACTGTCTTCCAAGAAACCACTCCCTGGGGTCCAAAAGGTTGGGGACCACTGATGTATAGCATTCTCATGCTCATTTATATATCGATTTCCTCTCTAGACTGTGTCCCTTGAAGACAATGGTTATGTCTTATCAACTCTACATTTCTGGAGCCTGGCATGGATAGGATTTTCACTCTTACTGATTTAACAGTTAGATATAATTTTCCCCGTCCTCTCTCCTCCCCTCCTGCCTTCGTGTACTGCATTTCATAGGCACTGAGTGGTAATAACAGCAGTTAACACTGAGGAGCACTGACTATATGCCAGGCTGTTTTAAGCATTTTACATCGATTTACTCACATAGGTAGAAATTTGGTAGGAATATAGAGAAAAAGAGTGAGCAGCCAGGTGTGGTGACTCATGCCTGTAATCCCAGCATGTTGGGAGATCGAGATGGGTGGTGGATTGCTTGAGCCCAGGAGTCTAAGACCAGCCTAGGAACACAGTAAGACCCTGTCTCTGTAACAGATTAAAAAATCGGCGAGCACGCAGGCGCATTGGGGGAAGGGTGGATTGGGCTGTGACTCTGGAATCTGCAAACCCCAGAGGGCGCTGCTTCCCAAGCCCGCCACCATGGCCGCCTACAAACTGGTGTTGATCCAGCATGACAAGAGCTCGCAGAACCTGGAGAACTACTTCAGCGGCTGGTACTACTCCGACCTGAGCCCGACGGGCCACGAGGAGGTGAAGCACGGCGGGCCGGCATGCTGGCTATGAGTTCGACACCTGCTTCACCTCAGTGCAGAAGAGAGCGATCCGCACCTTCTGGACAGTGCTAGATGCCACCGATCAGATGTGGCTGCCTGTAGTGGGGACTTGGCGCCTCAATGAGCGGCACCATGGGGGCCTTACCGATCTCAATAAAGCAGAAACTGCTGCAAAGCACGGTGAGGCCCAGGTGAAGATCTGGAAGCGCTCCTATGATGTCCCGCCACCTCCGATGGAGCCCGACCATCCTTTCTACAGCAACATCAGTAAGGATGGCAGGTATGCAGACCTCACAGAAGATCACCTACCCTCCTGTGAGGGTCTGAAAGACACTATTGCCAGAGCTCTGCCCTTTTGGAATGAAAAAATAGTTCCCCAGATCAAGGAAAGAAAATGGGTACTGATTGCAGTCCATGGCAACAGCCTCCGGGGCATTGTCAAGCATCGGGAGGGCTTCTCTAAAGAGGCCATCATGGAGCCGAACCTGCCGACTGCTACTCCCATTGTGTATGAATTGGACCAGAGCTTGAAGCCCATCAGGCACATGAAGTTTCTAGAGAATGAAGAGACCGTGCCTAAAGCCATGGAAGCTACAGCTGCCCAGGGCAAGGCCAAGAAGTGAAGGGCGGTGGGTAGGCTACTGTCCCCAGGAGCACCCTCCCTGCCCATCCGGTTCCTCTGCCCCTCCCTCCTTCACACGTCACACGTCACACGGCATCGGTAGGCATCTTGAGCTGTGGCTACAGATGGGGACCACTGGCTCCCATTTTCATTTTAGCCATTTTGTCTCCTGCACCCACTCCCTTCATACATTCTAGCTAGAATAGCACTTCTAGGGCACAGGTTCTCAATCTAAGCCGTGGAAAGTCTCCCCTCGTCTAAGAGAGTTGAAGGTAGTGACTTGGGTTTTTGCAAGTGCTTTGTTTACTAAGGACGTGTGGGGAGGAACCCTGCTAAGCCATGACCAATCAGGAGACGCAAGAGGGCCTGACTGCCCCCAGGAGCCAGTCCTCTGCTCTTCTGCCGTCAGGCCACTGCCTGGGGCCTAGTCATTCCAGTGGAAGGTGAATGTAACCTGAATGGTGATGGGACAACTGTCTCCTCCCTAACCCCAGAGGAGCTGGCTCTAGAAGGGTGGGATCAATACTGAATTTAGTTTAGTTGTTACATTTACTTTTATAAATTAAAAAAAAAGAAAAAGTTGGGCATGGTGGCTCACGCCTATAATCCCAGCGCTTTGGAAGGCAGAGGCAAGTGGATCATCTGAGGTCAGGAGTTCGAGACCAGCCTGGCCAACATGGAGAAACCCTGTTTCTACTAAAAAATACAAAAATTAGCTGAGTGTGGTGGTAGGTGCCTGTAATCCCAGCTACTTGGGAGGCTGAGGCAAAAGAATTGCTTGAAGCCGGGAGGCGGAGGTTGCAGAGAGCTGAGATTGCACCATTGCGCTCCATCTCAAAAAACAAGAAAAGTATAGCGTATGTAAAAAATACAAAACAATAGCCCTTCTGGGGTTTCTCGTGGCAGTTGAAATAGTCCCACATGTGGTTATCAGAAAATAAGCCACTCCACATACCAATATGGGATAAGCTCCTTGACCTCGGAGGGCAGGAGTGCTTTCTGCTGTGTTTTAGAATCCCTCTGCCGCCTTGTTTCATGGCAGTGAGACGCCTCTTGGTCCTGTCCAAGTGTGTGTTTCACTGACTGATTTCTGAATCACGTTCTAGTTGCTCGGCCCTGCTACATGGGTCCAGTGTTCATTTGAGCATAACTGTACTAAATCCTTTCTCCAGATCAGGATAATAAAAGAGTTAGGTGCAATTTAAAAAGAACAGTCTAGTATGTTAGCATGTGCCTGTATTCCCAGCTACTCATGGAGGGGAGCAGTGTTGGCACTGAGGTGGGAGGATCGCTTGAGCCAGGAGGTTGGGCTGCAGTAAATTGTGATGGCGCCACTGCACTACGGCCTGGGGAACAAAGTGAGACTCTGCCTACAAAAAAAACGGAAAAGAAAAAGAAAAAAAAGAAATTGTAGTAACCTAAGTGAATAGCCTATGGCCTTTGATAATTCCACAAAGCAGAAGAGTACAGCAACTACCATGCTATAAGACCTAATGGAACTCCAAATGGCATGTACTGTTCTATACTGTTTCTCAACACAATGCGCCTCTCTTTAACCTTTCAACCTATAAGAACATACATAGGTCTATTATTTGATGATCTTTCTTTGGCTGCTTTCCAATACTACGTTTTCATATGCTTAGAGCTCAAACACTAGTATTTGTTGATCAGGCTTCAGCCCAGATGTGTTTTCTTAAAAGAAACCTGGAAGGGAAGAAAAGCTTGTTTGGTTATACTTACTGGGACATTTAAAGAGATGGGCATTGTTTACAGTTCTGCGGTACGAGTTAAGGCCAGCTTTATTATTCAGGAAGTGAAATTTTACACCTGCTGTAAGAAGTGGTAGAAATTAAGGGTGTTTTGTTGGTAAGGTGTATTACACTCCTAGTTGAAAGTTGTTTTTATGGACACTTATGGGAAGTATGTAGGTTGGTAGATTTGAGGATGAGCTTTTTTTTTTATCAGTGCTTAGAACACTTGCTGAAAAAGGGTGCCCAGAAGCACCATTCTATACCCACTGCAGGAAACTGAATAAAGTCTTCTTCAATCTGGCGCTTATCCCGATGAATTTCAGAGACTCTCTGGGGACATCACAGACCTCACAGCTGCTGTGGACATGAGAGTCTGGAGCTATTCTGGTGCCAACACTTTATGTGCTTGGCTGGAATGCTGCCAACTGCCTAATCACATGCATGATGGGCTTAGTGAATGTCCTACAGTCCTAAAAACCGGATTATTACAGATTTGGTTTAGTAAACTTGGAGAATTATAAAAAGTCATTGTGTGCTTAGAAAATAGAAGAACACTTTTAAAAGTGGCTATTAAAGTTAAAATAATAAAATTCAGACTATGTATCATTAAGGCAAAAAAAATTCATAGTAAAAACTTGTTTTCTTTTTCTTTTTTTTTTTTTTTTTTTTTTGAGACGGAGTTTTGCTCTTGTTACCCAGGCTGGAGTGCAATGGCGCGATCTCGGCTCACCGCAACCTCCGCCTCCCGGGTTCAGGCAATTCTCCTGCCTCAGCCTCCTGAGTAGCTGGGATTACAGGCACGCGTCACCATGCCCAGCTAATTTTTTGTATTTTTAGTGGAGACGGGGTTTCACCGTGTTGACCAGGATGGTCTTGATCTCTTGACCTTGTGATCCACCCGCCTCGGCCTCCCACAGTGCTGGGATTACAGGCTTGAGCCACCGCGCCCGGCTTGTTTTCTTTTTCAAATGCTGAAAAGATAAATATGATAACTTCATATTGCCTTATCTTTCCCAGTTGCTTTCCTGTTGTGATTGAGCATGAAACCATTAGGAAAATTTTCGTAACACTGTGTTAAGTGAAAAAAACATGATAGAGAAGATGGACAAATAACCTTCTTTCTCAGATTGAGGTTCTTGATTATTGAGGGGTTCATAAGTGCTCTATGAGAATGTTTTAAAACTGTGATTTCTTTCTGATCTAAAATGTGGATTGATGAGTGGATAGAATTTAGGTGGCAGGTATGTGAGTCTGCAAATTTTAAAACTTTTTCTGGATGTCTGAAAATTTTCATAAAAAAATGTTGGTTAAGTTATCACAGACATTCTCAATCGACACAACTTTGTGAATTCATGCTTTAGCACATCCTCAGCTCCAAGCACATAGCAATATTAGATAAGGGACAGAAAAAAAGGTATAGCCTATGTCAAAAATGAGATATATATCTCTGTGAACTAGAAATGAATGAATGTTTTCTGTTTGTGGATACTTCCTGAATTAAAAAAAAGTTTTTTTAAAAAGAAAAGGAATGAATGAATGTGCATTCAGGGGATGGGGCTGAAATCATACATCTTTGGGGCCTTCTTTCAGAATCAGGCAGCAGTCGTCAGGAGTTCAGATACAAAGGAGTTAATAGGTCAAAAAAAGGAACCATAGTCAGACTCACTTTTTAAAGACAGGTATTGGGAAAGGCTCACCTTGCTAATAAAAGGAGGCTGGGAAAAAACAACAAACCAATCACGTACACAAAACCCCGAACTATTATTCATGGCCTGGATTTGTGGCTTCATGTGTGTGAGACCTGGGCAGTCACACAGTGTTGAGAAGAACTTTGTGCTTGATTTAATGCTGTGTTGCCACCTTCATGAAATTCTTAAAAAGGCTCTGCATTTCATCCAGCATCTATTCCCGCAAATTATATAGCTAGTCCTTAAGTGACCTAAAAATGAATCCAAATTGCCCTCCTGGTTTTCAAAGAATAGATATAATACAATGAAATTAGATTAGAGATCATCAGTAAAAAAAAATATTGTTTTTGAGATGGAGTCTCCCTCTGTCACCCAGACTGGAGTACAGTAGCCTGATCCCGGTTCACTGGAACCTCTGCCTTCCAGGTTCAAGCATTTCTCCTCCCTCAGCCTCCTGAGTAGCTGGGATTACAGGTAGGTGCCACCATGCCCAGCTAATTTTTTTTGTATTTTTTAGTGGAGATGCGGTTTTGTCATGTTGGCCAGGCTGGTCTTGAACTCCTGCCCTCAGGTGATCCACCTGCCTTGGCCTCCCAAAGTGCTGAGATTATAGGCGTGAGTCACCATGCCCAATCCCAGGTAAAAAAAAAAAATTCTAAAAACCCTAATGTTTGAACAATTAAATATCCTAGATAACTCAATGGGTTAAAGAGAAATTCTTAATGGAAATTACAAAAATGTTAGAACTTCAATGATAATGAAGATACTACATATTATAAAGGCCAATAGGATCATCCAGCTAAAGAGGTCTTACAAGAAAATGTTTAACCTTAAGAGTACTTGTTAAAAATAAGAAAGACTAAAAGTAAACGAGTTAATAATCACTGGGCTCACAAAGCTAGAAAAGGAATAAAAAAGCAAACTTAAAGAAAACATAAGAAAAGAAATAATAAAGCTAAGAGCAGAATTAGTGAAATAAAGAAAATTAAATAGATTGGATCAAGTTAACCAAAAGTTGATCTTTGAGAAAAGCAAATTAAGATCAGTCAGATTGAGTAAGACAATAAGAAAAAAGGCACAGATGAGCACAGGGACAAAAAGAAGATTAAGGACAGATTGAGTAAAGGTTTAATAAATTATAAGTGAATACCATGTATAATTCTGTGCCAATACAATTTTTTTAAATTAAAAGAATTGGCAATTTTCTAGAAAGCTTCGATTACCAACACCAAATCACAACTAAAATTAATAATCATTACAGATATTGAATCAGTAATACTTCCCTGTACTCACAGACACAGATAAATTATAACAAAAATTCAAGTAACAGATGATTTTATTTATTTATTTTTTTTTTTGAGATGGAGTTTCACTCTTGCTGTCCAGGCTAGAGTGCAGTGGCTTGATCTTGGCTCACTGCAACCTCCACCTCCTGGGTTCAAGCGATTCTCTTGCCTCAGCCTCCCAAGTAGCTGGGATTACAGGCATGTACCACCACGCCTGGCTAATTTTGTATTTTTAGTGGAGATGAGGCTTCTCCATGTTGGTCAGGCTGGTCTCAAACTCCCAGCCTCAGGTGATCCACCTGCCTCAGCTTCCCAAAGCACTGGGATTACAGGCATGACCACTGCACCCAGCCTTCTATTTTTATATAAATAATTGCAGAGAATAGAAAAAAAACATTGTGGGTAAGGGCACCTCCTAACTTACTCTAATATACAATGCAATACATTAAATTATAGGCCAGTATCAATTACAAACATCAATATGAAAATTCTAAGCAAGCAAATAAATAAATGACAAAAACCCTAGCAGATCAAATTCAGCAATGTATGAATGCAAATACATCACAGCAAATATAACTTATCCTAGGACTAAAAGAATAGCTTGATAATAGTTGCCATTCTGACATAGATACTGGCATGGCTGTGGAGAAATAGAAACGCTTTTACACTGTTGGTGAGAGTGTAAAGAAGTTCAA